TCGTGAGTATTTCATACATGCAGGGTTGGGCAGTATCAAAGATACATGTATCAAAGATACGTATCAAAGATACAATTGTATCTTGTATCTTGTATCATGATACATAATTTTACAGTATCAAGTATCATGTATCTTGATACATTTTATACTAGTATCATGTATCTTTTTTTGCCAAAAGATACAAGATACTATTATTGTAAAAATAATTTTGTCGCGGATTGTATTTGTACGAAAAATATTGTCCAGGTGCAATCCAGCCGAAATATTAACGATAGCGAAAAAATGTACCACACAATCTTATAAATTTAAGATAATCTGATAAACATAAAATTAAATTAAGGCGCCCGTATGACCGTAGCCCACACGCAGACCGTGTCAATAATCAATAGTCTCATAAAATATGAATCCGCTGCCTAGATATGAGTGTAACCGTTTAGGTATTTCCACATAAAATAGAAAATAAAATCAAAATTGAGCATAAAGCAACTATATATAAGTATAAATTAAGATGTAATTGTTATGCACTTTCTTAATTTTGGTGTATTTATATTATAAATGTGATGTATTAGTTATAAATGTATAATGTGTACCTATTGACTTATTATATTATAATGTGTACAGTGTACCTATTGACTTATTATATTATTTGATATAATTATGACTTTATAAGTATTTATAAATACTATTATTATGTAGGTATAATAATAATATTATGTATTTATTATGTATAGACGGTATAGTGAATTGTGTATAGACGTTTTACGTTTAATAATTAATAAAATTTGATTGGAAATATAAAAGTATCATGTATCTTTGATGTATCAAAGATACATGTATCTTGTATCTTGTATCTTTTCTACATTCACAATGTATCTTGTATCTTGTATCTTGATACACAAAATGTATGTATCATGTATCATGTATCATGATACTTTTTTTTGAGTATCTTGCCCAACCCTGCATACATGCATGGCAGGTACCAATGCCATGGTCAATGGTCATTGGTCATGGATACATATTATATGCATTCATACATGTATTTTATATTTATTGAAATGTTTAGACAGAAATATGTAACTGATTAGAATTTCAATATGGTTGAACGATCGCAATGACTGGTCACAGATTGTCACGAACGCATGTACACGTAGATACGATGATAGCTGATATTATAAAAAGTAGTGCCTAGGTATGAGATAGGCGTATATATATATTTGACCTATCACCCGTTTCAACTAACGTTATAGGCACTAACATTTTTTTCCTCTCACGAATATTAGAATTCAATCGTGCGTCTACAAAAAAAAACTATATACGTAAATTACAATTTTGATGATAAACAAGAATAACCAGGTATAAATAACAAAAAAAAAAAACGAAATCAAAGAAAACGATTTAAACTGTCACTGCTATGACTTCGATTGTTTCTTTTTTACATACGTTCCGTACATTTTCATATTTTACCAAAGATATGACATTTGCATTATGAAAAAAAATTTTCAATCTAACGTAATTTATAAAATAAGACATATTAAAATCTTTTAAACACAGTAAACTCGCAACGGCACGTACAAACGAATTATTTTAAAAACTAAGTAGGTATGATCTAAAAAAAAAATCATACCTTTATAAGATTATAGAACAATTATTAACTAAATCTGACAATAACAACGTAAAAATAATAATAGATAATTTGTAAGACATTAAACACTCTGTTCTTAAAAAATATTGTGACACTAGAATTTTAATCCAGTTATAAACAAAAAAAAAAATTTTTTTTACAAATTCAATCATCATTCAAACTACGGGAAAACAATATTAATTCTACATGAAATATACAACTTGTTCATTCTTTTTATGTCATACATAGTGTGACCATATTACCCAGTCCAATAGGGAGACACTTTCTAAAAATATAGGAATATTACCGATATAAGTTATAACTGTTGTATAAATCTATAAAAAATTAATTATACTTGTGTACCTATGTATAATATTAATATTTAATAGTAAAAAAACATTTGAATACTTAACACTTTTTATATAACATATCATATCCATACGAATATGTATGTTTATAATATAATTATGATTGATGATTGAATAACGATAGTGGTCACAATGCCTCAATGGGGTACATTTTATAACTAAAAAGTTAATAAAATATTTATTTTTATCAAACAAATAAAATTTAAAATAATATTATTTTTAATTTTTGTGATTACTGGACAAAAGAAGAGCGAAGTTGATCTCAAAAGTGGGTCTTGCGAGTCGTTCAAAGCACTACTATATTAGAATAAATTATGAGGTTCGTTCAATTATTAATTCAAAATAATGTTTCAGTTTTAAAATGCAGATAAAAGTATCCTAGGATGTATCCTAGCTGTATCCAATAAATATTGTATTATTTAACAGATCTTTAATTCTAATGTGGCTGTATCTATTTGAATAAAAATATTTATTAAAACTATTATGATTTAATTCTGATAAGCACAGAACTTAAAAAGCAATAACCTATTTAGTATACTACATCTTATTATAAGCAATGATAATAGCCACGTATATGACTGACATAACACATGCGAATTGTTAGCTCTAATATTGTTGGGATGAAGTTTTGCTTTTTTCCTAACGATATACTCTTTCACATGTTTTTAAGTCGAACATTTATTTGGATATAAAAAACAATACCTATCATTGCGTCAAGAAAATTTTTTAATCATTGTACATTAAACGTGATCGTTTAAAAAAAAAATGACTACACCTGGTTCCATAAAAGACATCCTCCTGGACAATTAAATCTGATTGTTATACTTTGTACAATACATTGACCTTTTCTCCGTTCATTTTTTATTTTCCATTATTAATCCTACTGGCTATAGGTGAACAAACAAATTATTAGATAATGTTCATTATATTCCCGGAACCTATACCTAGCATGCCATAATTAATTTACTTTGGTTTTCCTGTGAACTTGATTGCCAAAATTTGTTTTTTTTTTCACTTCCTTAATATATACATCCACTGGTGCCGAATTCCCGTATCAGGTACATGCGGTCGCGGTCCAACGGGTTCGAACGTGCGTGCAGGATTCTTACAAATGTTCCCTCCGATGAAATTATTTTTTGATGGTTGTTCTAAAACGTTGGTAGGTATAATATATATTATTATACATAATGTATGTATATGTTTACTGTTTACACATGACCAACACCCGGCTACCTGGCTGAAGGTGTTTGATCACTCGATGGAGATCATATAAGTTGCAGACAACGTCCGCCACAAGTTGATTGTATTGATGATTGCCGCGGCCTTGCGGTGAATACGATACGCTGTTATTTGCATCCGGTAAAATTATCTTCCATTTGAACGAGAAAAGAGTGCAATCTCACCAAGGCGTAGAGCCTAACAATGACCGCCGACGGGGGTATATATTACAAAATAATAAATAATATACGGTTGTAAGTCAAAATAATTGTATTTGAAACATGTTTTTTCTTTCGGTCCAAAATAATATTATATTATATTATACATATAGGTAGGTAGGTGTAGGTAGGTACCTAAACATCATTAATTTATGAATTTTTTTTTTAAATTGTATTAAAATAAAATAGCGTTTATACTCTATGTGGTAAAATCAAATGGTTTCATAAACGTCTGCATTTAAATAGGTATCGAACATCCCATTATATTTCGATACATGTCAAAACTGACATAAAATAAATATGATTATTGTACATATTATTATATATCATATAAATGTGAATGAAAAAAATTGTTATATCGTATTAATAAAGACGTCTTATTGTATTATCCATTGTCAGCTAACGGTAATATTACTTCTTATCTAACTATAATTACACAAAGTATAAGATTGTTACTTTTATTCTCACAGTAGTACTGAATTTTTTCAACACATCAATACACGCCAACACACCTCGCGTAACATGCATAATACATATAGAAGTATATTCTATATTTTATTAATTCGATTTTGAGCAGAACGAGAAAAATATTGGCTTTTATTGGCGTATAATAATTTATATGGGTTTTTAGTTTTCTATACTACACAGTACACAGTACACACTATACACAGTTAGCTTATCTTTAGCTGAATGTCTTTCTTATACATATATGTAGTTACATTTCTACAGGTAACCGGTCACAATATCAAATGAGAAAATATCCGGAATAAACCATCACTTACTGCCTTTAGATATACCTGGGGTTATTGACTAATTCTGCAAAATAAAATTATCATCGCATAGAATGACATTTATTTTCATTGGCAGATAAAAGATGGCACTGCACGAGCCGTAAATAATGAGCTTTTTTAAGTCATAACCGGAATTCCTAATTGGAGACGGAAATACAATTTAAAAACAATGTTACCTATATTACTTGCGTAATTTACTCACTCCGTCTCACATAACATTATCAACATTAAGACACAATATATACATCTCAATATTATACAAAATATATAATTTTATTTACCTAGGTACTGTTCATTTTGTATTTTACTACCTACTTATTACTTTTAATTTATACTATATATACATTAAACAATGCACATTTACAAGTTCACTTTAGTTTTAATTTTTCATTATTATTGGGTCATAATAGTAATTTAGTAAAATATGAAATAAATAATATTAGAACTGTTTTATTTTAGTTTTTAATTTTATATTATTCACAGGAGGAGTGGTCAAATTTTTATTTCCAGAGTGGCATGAACAAAAAAAATGTTGGGAACCGCTGGATACATTTATATAAACACTTATTAGTATATACTTATTAGTACTACACTACTACACTGTCTATATTAATAAATCTTTTTTTTTTAACTTTGAATTATAGATTATAAATTAAGAAACAATATATAGGTTAAAAATGTAATAGTATGCTTTATTAAAATCAGCGAGAAAATCATTTTTCATTTATTTTATAAATATAATTAAAATAATATTTATTATATTATATGACGATTAAAAGTTACTCTACATCGAACGTTCGATTTTCGTAGTAACTATATGATTAGTAAATAAAAACCGCTTAACTTTTTTAAATATAAATACTGATAACACAAGTATTGAAAAGTATTGTATCCATGCCCACTTCATTATTTGCCAAAACTTTGGTTTGTATAAAATCTCCACAGAACCGTAGTTTATTTTAGCTTTAATTAAAAATGGCTGTTGATAAGGTCGACCTCTTGTCCACTTATCTAAAACGTTATCCAATTTAGTAGAAACTAAAAATGTAATACATATACATACCATATACATTAAATCCATCGATATAATTATTAATAATTTAAATAACTTACGAGTACGTTTTGAGTATTCTTCGTATATGTTAACCAACCAGTCGGGAGATTCAAATAACAATATAGGTCTATTCATACGAATAGGTTTTCTCGGTGTACAAACTAAGGGCGTTTTTTGTACCAAGTTTAAATCTCCAAATACGTCCAGTCTACCGCCTGGCAATCCAGAACTGTGAGTAATAACTGCCATGGATTCCATTTCAAGTAAACACAAATCCTATTGAAAACAGATTAGGTACGTTATTGCACACCAAAAATATGAATTTTAAAATAACATGTCAATACTACATTTATATATTTACTTGTATTTTGAAATCAAATATCAGCAATAAAGTTATGGAATGTACATCCAACGTTTCATTCGTCGTCAATCTTAACTCTAAATCCAGAAATTCTTTTTTCCCATCAATGTTAATGTCTTCTTCTATAACCTTACGAAATATTGTTTTGTGATTTATATTTTATAGTCATGTATAGTGATGGTTAAAAGCTAAATAAACTATCACAACTAACGCGGTATACCTTGATGGTGGAACAAAAGCCCGTCGTTTTTAACGTCCGAGGAAAATTTCCGCAAATCAGCGGAGACGTGGGATCAGATGTTTCAGCATATAACAAATACTGCAACTTAAATTGTACCATAGGCTGTTCTCTGTATTTCTCGTACTTGATCCATAGTCCTGAAAATAGTAGTACAAAATAATATCCTGTTGCAATGGTTGAAGTGAAAATATTATTCAATCTATTACCACTGCTTCGGTAGCAAAATAGCAGCGGCAAGGTAAAAGTTAATAACGTTATAACGACGTATAAAATAAATGCCTTAGAACAAACAGAAGCTTTGTACTTGACTCCGAATGATTTACTATAAACTACGCGCACCGACATGATTCCATGCTTGTGCTGGTTCTTTGTATAATATAGTTTACGCTGAAAACCTCAGGTTTGTTTTGTTGATAGTTTCCTTAGTAACAGTCTCACCCTTGACAGAACTATAGGTATATGTTCCCCCACATACAAGGCGATGATCTACTGCAGCGGAAATCCATTTCATTTTTTATTGTTTACATTTTAGTAGGGTAGGTAGGCAGGTACATGATATAATAATTACTCCCAGCGATTATTACTCGCCCAGTTAAAATCACTGGGAGTTAAATTTACCAGCCACACCGGGTGTTTATGTGTCACCGTCACGCTCATTATCTCAGTCAATAATTGTGTTTTTCAATATTTTATTTTTTGATAATTTGTGATGCTTATAACGCTTTAACTTAAAACTGGTTATCGGAAGTTGTACAAACTGAAAGTAAACTGCTAGAAATCCATTATGTAGAATGACGAGTTTAAAAATAGGATATTCAAAATATTTTTTTGCAAAAAGTGCATATGTAAATGTTTATAAAAAAAATGATGTCTTAACTTTACAACTCACTTATTTTAGTAGGTATACAATTCCTAAAATATTTAAAATATATGTTTATTAATACTATTTGATGTTTATACCAATTATATTATTTCAGTTCAATAATTGATATCATCTCCAACCATCAACTATTTACAACTAGTTATTAATACATTATTTTTTACTTGCATTTATACATTTTCATTGGACTTTTTAAAAATGTTTTTGCATATTTTCTTCTTATATTTTGTTTGAAGTTTTATAATTGTTTTAAATGTTAAGCTCTAATTGTTTTTAAATACATAGGTACCTGTATAAGGAAATATTTTTAAATAATATTGGAGTTGAATCTTTCGAGATTTATCAAATACCTATTATCTGTATTTATACCAGGCTTCACCTGGGAAAAAATAAACAATTATAAAATACAGCGCCCATAAAAACGTACACAAACAATAGTTAATAGATTTATTCATATTTAAATTAAATAATTAAACAATATAATAAATAATAGATGTGCTAGCCTAAATCACATGTTTATTATTAGTTTTCTTATTAATGTTATTACCGTTTTAATTTTATTCAAAATACACTTGCATAATATTATGTTATTATCAGTTTTACTTTCTTGAATAATATTTATATTTTTCGATTTCTATTCTAATATTCAATTTCTAAAAGTTTTGCTATATTCTTATAAATTCCTTTAACTTTCTTCAGTTTTTTTTCGTTTTGTCCTGGAACGTTGATTTACAGTTATTTTGTTTTCTATAATTTTGGTTACTATAATTTTATTTTTATTTTTGATTTACTTTATGGATTACTAACGTTAGGTTCATTTATTTTCTGTAAAATTATGGACTCATCTTCAGAGCACTATTTATTTTTACTCTCTTGGTGGTGCAACATACCAAATTTTAATTTAGCAGATCCAGTTTGGTGTTAATTGCTTTGATATTAGAATTAAATTAATAGTAAGAATATTATCTAGAACATCTCTTAGGGTTTTATTGATATTTTAATTTTAAAACGAGTTAAGGGTATTTTAAAATTGCAATATTTTACATAGTTAATATTTATAACTTACTTTTAAATTAAAATATCAATGATAAATAGAAATCTATCAATGAAATAGCAAGTGCTTATGAGGTGCTTTAGAGTCAAGATAATATTATTTCCTTCAAGTTCGATACTAAGTCAATCACTTGAATATTAAATCTAACGACATAAAATGTAATCTACAGAACGAGATTTTGTTACGTGTGGGTCAGTAAGAGGAAACATCCGAAACAAGTAATGCACCGACATTTGTTAATTATAACAAATTATGTCATATATGATATATGACATAATTTGTTATATGATATATCTATTAGTATACCTACCTAATATAGGTGCTGTCAAATACTTGTAAATACTGACCTTCCATAAAATGATGTGGATAGGTTTGTAGTATAAAGTATAAATATACAGAGTGATCCATTTAACTTAATAGACACTAATTATTTCAGAAATAACTAACACTTTTGAAACCATTTCTTTTACATCATTATATTTTCAGTTTAAGAAAAAAAATGTTCGTACAAGTAGTTTATCAGTTATAAGTATTCAAACATTTGATGGGAGGGCAGTAGTGGACAATATATTGCGGGGTGTATCAGCTATAATAAAAATATTATTTTATTGATTATTTTTAAAAATATAATTTTAAAGGTGATAAAGTTTTAAAATCAGGATAGCTATTTAAGTATGATGCCAAGATATTGTATCTATCAATACGAGTTTCATTGTATCTTTCCATTCTCAACGCCAATACGTTAAGTTCGTTTTTCAACAACGAACACAATAATAACGTTTTATTCTTGAGTTCAACTTCTTTAAACCGGTCAGTTTCTAGAGCCTTCACCATGGATTGTAACTTAAATTGTTTCTAAAAAAACACACAAATAAATGTTTTAATTTTAAAGTTTGTTTTAATTGCTACTTAAATACTCAATTATACAATTATACAATTATACCGTTATAAATAATTTTTTAGTTCGTATAAACCGTTTTTTGGTATTTTGTGTAAAGTTTTGAATGATTTTTTCACGAACGTTTAAAGCAATCTTATCTTGTGTAAATAATCTTTTAATTATCACATGGTATGGCAAAGAGTTATCTATTTGTTTTGCTTTATCTCGTTTAGAAAGCGCGAGCTTTTTATCTTTCTAAAAATAATAAATTATTTTGAATTTTCAAGTATACAATTATAATTTATAATTTATAAAAATAAAAATATAAAATGACTTCGTTTTGGAGTAATTTTCTGATCCCATGATTTCTGTCCCAATCCAATGAATCGATCTTTAACTTAAACACTATTCGTTCTCGACATCGGATCTCTATCATTTTTATAATATCATCCTCTAGTTTCGATACGTTACGAAGTGCTTCCTTTTCGGCTTCAATCATATCTTGTAACATGATATACGCTTCGTGGGTGTTTAAATGTCCCTCATATGGATAAACAATATCTTCAATAACAGATTTAGTATCAAACTCTTCATTTCTTGTCATAGTGGGCTTTTGAAATAGTCTACTTGATTGCGTTATCTGTCCTTCACCATATTGATATTGAACATAAATACTATTAGATTCAAGATTAAAACTTATGGTGGCAATATCTTGATCTTTATGTTTTGATTCATCTCTTAAATATTTTTCAACGATACTCTGCAACATAGTGTCACAGTGTACGAATTACATAGGTATTAAACTCCATATCAACTATTCAACTAGGTATCTATTTACTAGACCACTGAGGTATAAACAGAAATCACATTAAAAATTATCAATTAGTTCTTACATTTTAATTAAATATTAATATAAATTAATTTAAACTTCTATTTTGAATGCTTGTAAGTTCTCAACACTAAAATGTTTTAAAAATTGTAATACATTAACTTACAAGTTATTAAAACCTTTTCAAATTAAATTCAAATCAATATACACAATAAACCGATTATGAAACTGCTGTAAATAGATTGATTTTATAATTTTTTTTTTTTTTCAAAAACAGATAATAAACGTTTGGAAAATGTACCTAGTACCTAAAAGAAGATTTTTATGGTTTGAGTTCATTAAGTCATGGCTCTCTGGGGCCTTTGCGACTCTACCAAATAAATTCCTGGAGCCACCTCTAATTGTTATATTACATAATAAAAATAAATTGTTAATAGGTTTTAGCTATATTTATAAGAAATAATTTATTAAATATTATTTCATATTTGTCATAAAATTAAGAATATAAAAAAATAATCAGTATTAAATACCGTAGGTTTCCTCTTGACGTTTAAATTGTGGCAATCGTTTTTTTCTGTTTTTTGAAATATACACTTGCGGCAGAATAATAAATCTGATCTGGAATAATTAAAGTATAATATTAATTTAAAATACTTATATAGAACCATGACATTGTCATTAGATTAGACCAAGAAATAGTAAAATTATAAAGTATAACATAATATTAATTTAGAAATGTGTATAACTAACCGAAAAACATAATTGAGTAACAAATTTAAAATATTAATTTTTCATGTAAATACTTTAAAATACAATTTACCTACTATTTTAGTGAAAATATAGAACATACTGACCCATGGGCGGATAGGCCATTTTTGGCCTACTGGGAAATTATTAAAAGGGGCCCCTTGGCCCACATGAAAATAAAATAAGCTCACTTTGCTTGCAACTATATTATTAGGTGAATTATATGAGCTACCATATCAAACGAAAATAATGTACAACAAGTCAACAAAACACATTTTTAAAATCATTTATTTATTTTTTAATTTTTTAAATAATAACATTCTACCAAATACTGAGCACCTATATATCCTAATTTATTAATGATGTCTTCAAAATCAATTTTGTTCCGAGTATCTTTTAGATTATTTTCAAAATATTTGTGAGTTATTATTCACCTTAACAGTCTCAACTCACAACCGTGACCACTACCCGCCACAATACCACAGTCAGGTCCACAGAACAGTAATAGATTTATAGATATAAGATTAAAATAATATAATATTTCAAATTTCAAATTTCTATTGTAATTGTATAATATTATAATATTATTGAGTCATTGCATTAACCATAAAAAGGGGCCCATTGCTGATATACGAAGTGGGGGCCCACCGGGAAATGCCCGGTTTCCCAGTAGGCCTATCCGCCCATGTACTGACCTATCGTTAAACGTAGTTGTAAAACTGTTTTCATCGATGTTTAATTCAGCCATTGAATCAAGTCTCAGATTAAAAAACGTAACAAAACGCTTGGTCTTTATATTGTTACAAGCCCCATAAAACGTATGTGCTATAAAATATAAAACCATCAATAATTGAAAAATGTAATTTAATGATTATTTTTATATCCTTAAAATGGTAAATACAATTTAAAAAGTCATCCCTGCCGCTTCTAAAATATTCTACAGTTTCATTTTCTTTAGTGGTATATTTTGTCTCAACGCTGATCAACTTGTCTATTCTATGTTTGTATATTTCTGTAACAAATGTTTTATTAACATATTCGGAATCAGTAAAAAATGTGTTTTTTTCAATTAATCCATCCGGCATGATGTAATCAGCATAAAACTCTTTGATCGCATTCATATATGTTACAACTTTTTTACCGCTTGGATATAGCATATGATATTCTAAAAATAGTATGCATTTTAATTTAACAAATAATTTTGGATTTTTAATGACCAAATTCATACTGTTCCTAGGAACTTCTAAAACGTTGACCCACGAGTTGGGCATCACAAGTTGTTTAAATGTTGTATTTTCATTATGCTTTAAATCTAATGTCTCGCCTCGTAAACTTTGAGGTTTATCTGGTAAAAAATTTTCCCAACACTTTGTATTCGTCAAAGTAAAATTATACTGCTACATATACAAAATAAATATTTTAAGTTAGTAAATATTATAATCTAAAATCATCAGTAATACACACCGTACAACCTACGCCCGATGACTGTAAATTAACCCAATAATTTCTATGATTCCAAACAGCTTCTATTCCAGTATAATTCTCATCAGAGATTTCTTTCCGCTCACCCGTACTAGGTTCAATAAAATATGGAACCTCGTTTATATTTTCGTCCTCGATTTGTAATGGAATAATTATGACCCAAGCATGCACTCGTTTCCCAAATAATGAATCAGAAGAATCATTAAAGTCGATCTAATATTTCGTATTTATCAATAAAAACAAATAAAAATTAAACACAATCTTGTTTATTAGATAGCTACAACATTTATATAATATAATATAGGTATACCTCTTTAACTTCATCTTTCATCACGGTTTTATTTTGTTGTTCTTCTAGAAGAAACTTAACATATTCGCTGCACAAATCATTCGTAGGTTCTAAAGAATTCGCGTCATCTAAATCTTCCGAAATATTTTTGGAATCTGACTTTTGTGGATCCTTCAATCATAGATATTAATTTTAAAATTAATTTTGTATCAATTATTATAATACATACATATTCTTCTAGGTCTATCTTGACTTTTTTTAGATCATTATTGCACACGATTTCTGTGGCATAACCATAAACAACAAAAGCATTGCACTCACAACCAATTAAAAAAGATACCAACAGTATCGCCATTTCAAAACAATTAGCAGTTTGCATTTCTATTGTTGTTGTGGGAGACATGATTTTGTTAGGCTGAAAATGTGGATGTTTAATTATTCTGACGTTGAGTTATTCATTACTTTTAAATTTTGGTTTTCTGTGTTCACTTAATGTTGTTACTTATTTTATTTCAGTAGTTATAGCCAAAATTTGAGAATAGTATTATAATAATGTAAGCTCTAAAAGTCTAAACAAAAACTGTAATTTAAGAACTCTAATCGTATAGTTCTATACTGTTGTATTGAAAATAATATATTACGAAGCATACATAAAACGTAGTAAAAAAATAAATGTATTATTTGGAAATTATTATTATTTACAATACGTACGTATATAATGTTATATTATATCATACATTCATACCACAGTCACAGGATCTTCTAACTTGATATATGTTATGTGCTTGGCAACAAACTCACTGTAACTGATCAAATCTCTCAAATTGGGGTAGACTAATCGAGATGGTTTGATTGTAGTGCAAACACATTTCTAAACACGTAAAATATATACGATATTATGATATATTATGCAATTCCATATTTACATTTGTAGCATAGCTATGATATTACCTTATGTTCATCATACATATATCATAATTTATATTATACTCGCATTAAGTAGCAAGGGCGTCCTCAGGGGGCTTGGCTTTTTCTGGATCAATTATCATAATCATTATTGATGATTAAAAGTCCAAAAAAACTTAAAAATTCCCTAAAAATTCTAAATAATACAACCATTATTTTTATTTTTGGTAATATTGATATAAATCCCACTATAAATTTGCTATAAATATTATAATATACATTTTAAACTTTTTAAGGATTGTAAAAAGTTGTACAGATAAAACAGGTCGTTTTGAACTTCCTTAATCTGAAAAATGAACCATGCCTTTTTTTATAGGTTTAGATCAGTAGTATATAACATATTATATACTATATATCACATATTTATAAAAAAATCAGTTCAAAGCATGTACACATTTTGAATTAAAATTCTAAAAAAATTTCAAAATGCAAAAAAATTACCTTAAAATCTAAATCGTCAAAAAATGCAAAAATAAAAACTTCTTATTCTATTTACGTATATGTTATAAAGCGAAGATCGCGAATTGCTAGATTTAGAAAACACTGCAGAGATCATTTTCAACCCTGAGAAGATTGAAAACTTATCTTAGATAGGTAATAAATATGATCGCCTAAATGCTTTGGCTGTATTAAGAATTGAAAGTAATCTAACTTCTATCATCAATTATGATAACATAATTAAAGAATTCGCAAAGTCACAATCCAGAAAAAAAAATGTAAATGTATTCATAACTTATTATATATGCATAATAAAATATAATACATGTCATACAATATAGCTATTGTTTTTAAATTGTATTATATTTTTCGGTATAAAAAGGTTAGGTTGGGTTTGGTATAAAAAGGTGTTTTTTTTTTTTTGTGGCTCCAGGTTGTGAAATTCTTAAATATACGGCCCTGCAGCTAACTATATCTAAGTATAATTCATAAATAATTTATACATTCCCTACGACCCTACCTATACCTAAACAAAAAATTAAAAAAGGAAAATATTTTGCCCTCCCCTTGACAAATTCCTGCGGACGCCCTTGTTAAGTAAGTACTTTATTACCTGAGGACCGATACTGGTTAATATTTGGTGGTAATTATTGATTCCTCAACATTTAAAATGCTTAACATTATATAATTTAAATATTAAATGTAAATATTTAAATAACTACCATTCTGTATCAGTACAACAATACATCAATACATCACTATAATGCCTAATTTTTTTTTGAGCCTTCTCTAATCTTTCAAATTATAAGTAATAACTAATAAATGAATGTGATAAATAATAAACGAAAAAACTCATGGTTTACAGTATACAAAGAAGAGAGGACTTTATGAGAGGAACTTTAACCATTACCCATATATTATAGTGTTTATAAATAAATAAATATATTTAATGCATAACAGATAAGGATAATATATATATATATACCTACTCTACAGAGTTACCTATCATTATATATCCACTTATAAAAAGGCGGGAAAGTGAGTGTCGCTCTGCTGTGCAGTAGGTTACAAGTGAGCCACTATAATGGATTGTGTTGAATTTGAACTTAATGATATAATATCTAATCATTGTATAAGAAAAACAATTCTGCGCGAGACCCGAGACGGTCAGTCGACAGTCAGCCTAGGATATTATATTATTTTACTAAATATTATATTTGATGATATTATTGTGAATAAAGTAATTTATATATAACCTATTTACGTGGAACATTGTTTTAAATTTTAAATTTGATAAAATTTGTCAAAATTCGAAATTTAAATGCATGTAAAAAAAAAAAATGTGGCAATGTATTTTTATTTTTCAACTGCTATAGTAACAATATATTAGGAGCCTTTTATTACATTTTCATGCTCTTTTACGCAACAAATAAAATTGTATTGTTAATTATAGAAAAAAAACTGAAAATATTGAAAGTTGAAAATGTCTGTAAATAGCACAAAATGAGTCAAAATATTTTCAATTTTATATGGTGTATAGAAAATGAAAATATAAACAGTCTGTCAGCCTGTGAAAATTTCATGTTTCTACGGTCAGTTTTTAGAATTACACCAAAAACTAAAATCAATTTTTTTAAAAACCGATTTTTCGTAAAAATTCAGATTTCCTTAATTTTTTTTTTGTTTTTCCCAACGCTAAAAATTTTACCTCCCCATTGAACCAACTAGATTCACTTTCCCATCGAACAAGATACTGAAGTGTGAAATCGAAGCATTATATCGACTACTTATCGTGTACACAGTCAGTAGTCACACAGGCAGAAAAAAAAAATTAAACACAGTACACACTACACACATCATTGTAAAATCAACACATTCATCCCTCCGCTCAGAATCTAAAATTCGTATAATCGATAATCACGTACGTAAAATATATTTCATAACTATTTCGCAAAAGTAGATCATATATATATAATCATAAATCGAAAATTACATTTTTTGTTTTTCTTAAGTTTTTTATTTCTTATCCTTATTATCATACCTACCTGTACACCGCATTCATTTAGGAGTATTAAAACCAACTGTCTTCTATTCGGATATTTTATTTTAAATTGTTCAACAAAATTGTTGGCGTACAAAATTATCAGCTTTTCTATACTTGTAGTTTTTGTGTAAGATTCTGGTACATTTTTCCTATAACACGTTAAAATATTTATATAATTACTTGTTGTCGTATAGCCGTTCTCGCGATATTTTAAACGAATGCAACTGCTTGCCTACATGGGCTATACCTTAGGTACAATAAATTTATTTAATAAAACACATATTTTATATCTACTCAAATAACTTCAACGCAAAAATAAACGATAAATCCACGTTTAATACCCTACCACAACGATAGAAAAGAAAATTACTAAAAAAACACAGAAACTGCCAAGCATACAATTAATACAAAAATAAATATATATACCTATATATATACTTATTGAAGTATATAATATATATTGTAGATGTAATATTTATTATAAACCAGCAATCAATAAAACTTTTGCTGTATATAATAATTCAAATATAATATAAAATATATATAACACCTAATATATACTATTAGTGACACTTACTCGTTGACAGTATATTCATACAATGTATTACGCCATTCTAGTTCAACATTCGACAAGTTAGTTTTAATTGCTTCCAGAGCATCGCTGTAAAGTAGATCGACAGATTTGTGATTGCCGTCTTCGAGTTCACCATCAGTCGTCGAATCTAATTCGGACAACGTTTTGTCATATTGATTCTTGAAATCGTTAACTATTTCATTCAGTTCTAGTGCTGTTCTCTTATCTCCGATTAACAACGAACAATCATTATTGAAACTTGATTCGGAACTAGAGTCTGATTTATCGTCGTCATTACTATCAAACAATAGGTAGTTTTCGTCTTCAACTTCTTCAATAAACTCGGCAAGATTAGGCGAGTTATTAAAATCCCCCCATATCCAATCCAACGAATCGGAATCCATTCTACACGAAACGTCCAAAGCTCGAGAACACAATGTGGTATATTTGTCTACTACCTACCTATACATTATACATACTCGTATTATAGTCGTATGTAACCAAGAACATCGAATGAAGAGTGTTTGATCAATAACGTGGGTAAACGTTAACGCTTTAAAAAAACATTATAGGTTTCGACATTTCAACTTTGATGAGTTAATAATTAACTATAAGGATTTATAGTTTTGATGAGTAGAGTAGAATGTCACTAATTAATAATTATATTTTATATAATTATTAATTAACTGCTTGGTAAATATTAGAAATTAAGTACATCGAAATTTTTTAGAAAAATATTCTGCTTAGGAACATGAAACTAAATATTTATGCTGTCTTTCAGAAAAGTATAAACTTAAAAATTATAATCATACAAGTATTATACATACCTAATTAAATTTTTCAAAAATAAAGTTTTGTACAATCTTACCCATTAGGTTGAAATAATTTCAAGAAAATACTTTAAACGTAACAACTTTTCGTTAAATTGACTTTACCTATTTGTTTATAAAATAATCACCTTGTATAATATTTTACTTCAACATTTTGGAGACCGTAATACCTACTTATATTATTCTAGGTACTAAAAAAATCATTTACTTTTAAATAACTTTATAAAATTCGTTTTTGGATGACTTATTAGTTATCGTCAGTTATTGTTGCCATTGAAAAGAAAAGAAAAGTTTTGTATTGTTTCTAAAAAGAAACCGATTTCCAGCAATAATGATTATTTTTCTACCCATTGTCATCAAATCCAATTAAATATATTTATAGTTCGAGTTCGCATACATCGGATATTTTTAAATCGTAACTATTTGCAAGAGCAATGTCGAATACTTGAATTTCATTAATGTTTTATTTATGTGTCATGTTGAAAACATAAAAGGGGTTTACACTTAAGTGGCCGACACAAACTGCATTGTTCTTTGCGAATATTCAAAAAATAGTGAATATATTGTAAAACTTGTATCAAGTTATTGATCATAAAAAATTGATATTTTTTGAAATGTACCTATAAACTATAGTAAAGTAATTTACTATAGGTACTATTATAGTTAATGAACACTAAACCATTAACCTTGTACTAAAACTTTATACTTACAAAAAATAAGGACTAAAACTTTACTTTTTAATGAAAATAATTATAAATCAGATTTGTTAATTGTAATAATATACAATGTAGGTACTATGGTTTTATCGGTAATATACACGGTTACACCCTACACAAAACATGGTATACCTAGTATCATAGTACTTACTACCTGTAGCCTGTAGGTACCTAAGTACTACGCCTGTGTATGTTTTTCTGCTGCGCTACTTAAAGTTGTATATTCATATATGCATATTAGACGATGTCCATTGTAATAATTATAATTTATAACAATACAACCATAGATCGCGATCTAAATAGTATATAATATAGTAGGTATATACTATATATTGTATATATATATATATACTATACGGTTATACACATATTATATACAACACACGGAGGCTTTAGGGAGGCCAAATGTGTCACGTTTCGTGTGTAAAAACCGCATAACGAGGTGTATGCAGTACGTTTTACCTACCATTTACCTGCAACAATCTAACCAGCACAAGTTCTTATGACTTATATTATATGCGATCATGTGAATAATAAAATCACATACGCCTAATAATATATTATGGAAGCTATTTACCGAGAACGTTGCAAAAAATAAATTGTTAGTATTCTTTGTGGTTAAACGCATTGTGGAATACAAATAAATGTACGATTGCTTAGTATTGTTAGTTTTAACGTATTTTTTCACATTCGTAAACGGTAAATCAAATAAGTACCTACCTATTATTAAGTGAATCGTTTTTTTACGCAATACATTTTGTAAAACATATTTGATACCTATAGGTACCAACTATAACTTAGGTATATTATAATATTATTTAGACGCATAAGTTAATAATAAATATAGCCATATAGGGTGAAGGTAGGTAATCAATTGTGATAATTAGAATAAACCTTTAACCTTTTTTAAAGGTACATTCAATATCTTAGTTATGTATAATATATATCATAGTACCTATAACCAGTATATATATAGGTATATATACAGTATACCTATAGGTCGTCCCTTTAAGTTGCCATTTTAATTCCTTAACGTGATGAAATTATGTAGTTGGGCCATGGGGGTATTATACATTGCAATAACCTTGTATATTTAACAAGCCATGGTGGATACATTTTTTTGCACCCCCAAATAACTTGATTAATTATAAGTTCTCATACTAGTGTAGATATACATTTGTATTAAATACAGAATAGTGTGTACTGTGTATACATTATTATTAAATTAAATTATTATAATTTTTATTGCAATTAATAATCCTTACATAAAATGACACATTAAAACTATTGAAACAAAGTATGGGTTCTGATTGTCGAGCTATAATAACTTACTGTTGAAAGCTAAATAAAAAAAGTAGGGGTTCCACGATAAAAGTGGACATAAAAAAGGGTTCCACGGATAAACAATACCTACTCTACTAACACAATACTTTAATAAATCAATGAATTTAAAAGAAAGAAACTGTTTTTTGAAAATATATCAATAACACAGTCAATATTGATATCAATATCTGATTCACACGATATTATCATTAATGCATCTAATCGGTCTTCTGTCATTGTGCTTCTTAATTTACTTTGAAGTATGGAAATTATTGAAAAACTCCGTTCCGTAGTGGCGCTAGCCAATGGCAAGGTTACCCCAATTTTAAGCGAAGTATATATAGATGGGGAAATACTGTTGGTAGTCCACTTATTTTTAAGACTTGTAAAATTGTAGCCATACTGTTTCCATTAATAGGAAGTTCACCATTTTTTATTTCTAGTTCTAAGAAATCACAAGAACTTGATTCATTCGTTTTTTCAGCATCTGAATCCTACCAAATTTAAGGGGGGGCAGTCGCCCCCCCCCCTGCTCCCCTAGATTTGCGCCACTGGGTGTACTGCCCCAGGGTTGGTGAAATATAAGACTAGCCTCTGAAATATTTCAAGTTCACCACGCCTCAGCCTGTATCTTCATTCTTCATCCCGACATCTCAACATCTGTAAAGTCATGGCGAATTGGAAATAATATTATTAGAAACAACGTAATATTATATTATGTAGAAATTAATACTCTATTACGTGACGGCATCTAGGAGATTTGAATTGTACCAGTTTACAGTTCCGTTTGTAATGTTAAAAGTGACAGCTGTTTTCAATTTGTCCCTCTACGGTAACTGTTCTGTGGTAATAACACAACCAACCTACTTATCAAAATTCACGTAAACATTAATATAACACAATATTGATAACGTTTAAAATACAATTTCACTGCGACTGTACATAAACCGATAGATATTTTTCATTCACCGTTAACGTATTTATGTATATTTGTTCTCGTTGTTCTTGTGTAAGTGACGCATTTACTTTGTCTACATGTCTGGTTTCCCGTCGTCGTATTCACCAAAATCATCACCTCGAGGTGCCAGGTCTCCCGTCGTTTCCAGACAGGATTCTACGGGAACCCTCAAGACGACCATATCGTTGGGCAAGAATCCATCGATTGTCCATAGTGGGCCATTTTATCTTATGAAAGAACCACCATGTAAGTGTCACTGGAATATAAAACACGTCCCATTTATTGTGCTGTAATGTACCATGCACGCTATGTAACAATCATCGAAGCTATATATTATGTAATTTATAGTGCTTATACTTATACAGTTATGCTGTAAATTTTAATAATTACAATTAGGTAGTGTCCGCAGGACCAATTATTTATTAAATACGTAGTTTAGAAATTTTCATTGTACGTAAATAAATGTTACTTTTTCATTGAATAATATGAATTATATCGTATTTTAGGTGAAAGTGAATTAACCGGGTCTGTAAATTTAATGGCCTATTATGGCCTAGAACACACATATAGCAAATTCAGTGGAAAAAGACTTAAAGAGAGCTTATCATCATTTTTACCCAATTTACCTGGTATCATTGATACCCCTGGACATAATGATCAAAGGTAATTAAAAATATTTATAAATAAGTACCAATTTTTTTTTTATTTTTTTTTACTACGTACCTTTGACTGATTATAATTCATGACAAATATGTATTCCTATTGAATATGATTGTATATAGTATATATTATGTATAGCTCTTACATAGATAAATTCTTAATTATGTATGACTATATATTCCAAAGTCTTGTTTGAACAATTATAGAGTAATTGCTTATTATTTTTGATTTTTTCATACAAAACTTTATTGCTAAATGGTAGAACTATAAATTTAGAATTTGACTTGATTAGACACTGAATAGACAAAGTACACTTTCAAATTTGGAATTTTTTACTTTTGACTCCCCAAAATACCAACTATCAGAAAAGATACTGTCTAAGAAAATCTAAGCATTTTTTACTCTCCTAAAAGGTGATGACAGACTCAAAAAAAAACAATACACACACATCATTGTAAAATCAACACATTAATCGCTCCTCTCTGAATCTAAAATTATAAAATTATTTGTGCCCGATTTTTGATTTATCAGCATTTTAATTCTAATCAGAGTTATTAGTATAATGCTATGAGTATATTTTATAATATTTAAAAGTATTTATATCACACTTTGCAATAACAAAACAAAAATATTGAAAAATTTAACGAATTTTGAGTGAACACTGATAATGAACCATTGTCTATTTAATTATTTTGTGATGACAGACCGCCCAAATAATGATTTTTCTATTTTTTTTTAATGTATATTATATTATATCTACCTAGTAAATGTGAAACTTCATATTTATTTGCAGTTCATTACGTTCTGTCATTGAAAAACCCCCAATTGGAGGAAAGGAAATTTTGCCACTAACGACCCATCAACTAGCTGGATTTCGATTACATCCAGGACCTGTATGTATTTTTATGTTTAATATAACTAATAAATAATTTATTGATATCATATTTAGTACGTATTAATTTTTGCATTTTATCAGTTGCCAGAGCAGTATCGCTATGCAAATCAACCGCCTACTAAGAAACATAAAAACAAACACAAAAAGAGCAAATACAAAAGTGGTGAAGCCCTTTCACTAGACATGGCAGCTAATGAATTAGGGTTAGGTGATATTCACGAGAAGAAGCATAAAAAACAAAAACGCCACGATGATGATAAAGAACGGAAAAAACGGAAAAAAGAGAAAAAAAAGAAGAAACAAAAGCACAGTCCAGAACATCCAGGAAATATAACTCCTGGACAACACTCGAACTGATAGATTTTTTTCCTCAATTACATATTTTAACCTTGAATTTGTTTTCAATCAGTCATGAATAAATACTAATAAAGTGTACATAAAATATTGTCAAATTATTAGAAAGTTTTGAACAAAGTGTGTATGTTTAATACAATCTTGTTTGTTGGCCACAGAAAATTGTGATGTAAAAATTAATTTTTCATTATTTGATATGATTAGGTGAATTTTGTTTTAAATAAATAATTTTATCTGCACTAAAAGTAAAAATATATTTTTTATTAATATCTATTAAAATATTTAAAAAATACATTTGTTATTAATATCTATTAAAATATTTAAAAAATACATTTTCTACAACAGATTATATTACTACAAAAATAATTAAAATTCAGTATTACTTGGAAGTTTCTGTACAACTCTCACAGGTGTTAAGGAGCTTACTACTATTGATTTTATAATTTACAGATAGCCCATGGTATACGAATATTTGATGACCAGATAATGGATGTAACCGCTAGGATTGCTGTATCCGTAGTATGCATTAAGCTCAATTAATATTTGTGTAGCACAGAATATCTGTATATTATAAAATCAATGTTACTACTATCCCAAATTTGGTTGTATTTATTAGATTTAAAAATTTAAATACCTACTTAAATAAATTGTGATATTTTTAAATGTTTTGATGACTGTAGTTGATTTGTGATATGGTTGGAGAGAAACAATAAATTAACATGGTTAGGTTTTTACATTGATTAAATATGTACAATTTACAAATGTTATAATATAATTACTGTCTGCCAAAGATTTTTTCCATTTTCTATTTTACTCAAAAAATGTTTGTAATGAAAAATAGTATTCGATTGGCAACATACATTATAGGGTACTTTCTTATATATTCTTTATATAATTCGAATGTGGCTATCCCCACAGTACATAAATTATTTATTATTTTATTGTTTTCCGTACGCCACGGCAAATTTGGCACTTTGGTGTGTACTGTGTAAAATACGTGCATAATTACTATGTATTTAAACTTTTTCTATATTTCTTTTTGGCTATCCCTACAATATATATTATTAAAAAATATATCAAAGAAGGCAAGAAAAATAAGCTAGTCTCGTTTAACAGGAAAGTACCATTTTGGTAGTCTTAGATTGTGACGATTCACAAAATAAGCGCGGTAGTCATGATAACGGAGGTAGTCTCGTATAACAGGAAAGTACCCATTATAGCTCAACACATTAGACAACAATATTATTCTTATCGAAAATCAAAAACTTATTATGTAATGTCTAGCTCAACATTTTAGAATTAGGTAAACAAAAATTAATTTTAATTAGTAATTAAAACAATGCATATTATATAGAAATAATTAAAAATAAATTATTTAAGTGTAAAGCATTGTTATTAGAAATGTGATTAATTTTATTTATTCTAAAATCTGTAAAGAGGTGATTCTGTTAATGACCAAAATAAATAAAATGTCTATAACTTAACTCTGGTGGAACACGACTTTCCATTGAAAATTATCAAGTGATACGTTGGGGGGCTAAAATACTGTGTCCCCTGAAAATCAAAGTTTGTCCTCTGAATGACAAATGTGTGTCTCAAGTTTTATTATGTGTTTTTAGTTTTGTAGAAATAACAATCATTTAATATTTTAATTTACTAGTTACCTATTCTGTTCACTTCAGTTAATTACCTACTTATTTTATTTCTATATTATGGACAAGTTTATTATAAAAAAAAGAAGAATTGATAATGGGACAATTCATAGTAGTTAGGTACCTGCTACCTGCCTTAGTATAAAATAACTTAACAGGCAGGTACATAAAATATTTAAATTATTTTATAGTAAGAGCATCGTAATTCATAGAATATTATCTTATTATATAATTAGGTATAGGTACTATAGCATATTATAAATAATATGTATTGTTGTTTATTTTAAGTCTAAAATATGTTAAAATATTAAAAAAGTATTTATTAAACTGACTATTATAATAAATCAGATTATAAAGAATTAGATAGTTATTTTGTCTTATAATAAATATAACTAAAAGATCTACATACATAATAATATAATTCAATATAATATTATATTATAACAGTTTATTTAACAAACCCAATATTAAATTCTAAATATAATCAAATTTTTTTTTTGAAAACCTTCAATATTCTTATTCACTATTTCGTTACATAAATTATATTCTAATTGATGATGATAAAATACAAAAATATTTCTCAATTTACTACACATATGCTTTTGCTGCGTTTAGTGATTTAAAATAATAACAAAAGTTACCTCACTAACTTACATACAGGGTAAGTGGTATGTAAAAGAGGAGGGGGGGATTTTGTATGTTACAACCCCCACAGGTTTTTTTCCCTACAAAAAACCGTCAAAGCCCAAAAGTAACAGTTAAATTAATAAGTGTGTGGTGTGTCCCCTGAAATCAGATGTATTTTAGGCCCTGCGATACGTGTCAAATAGTTTGAGAAACATTTTAATAGAGGAATGAAATGTGTAAAAATTGTTTGTAAAAACCCGTAGACATAATCTATAAAATAAAACCTTTAGATCAATATTTAAATAAACTTACCATTTACAAAAATGCAGTTGTCATTGATTTGTAAATGAACTTGAAACATATAAATATTAATTTCTAGTTTTACTTGTATTCATTTTGGTGTTTTAGATAGGTATTATAAATAATGCCATAATCTAGAAATTCGCTAAAGTAGACTGGTTTAAAATTATCCCACATTATCCTGCACCGGGATAATGAACCATGTAAACAATATGGTCCAAACATCCCGGAGCATTATTTTTCACACCGGTTGAATCTAGGGGATTTGTAGAATGAGGCATTGATTAATTCATAAATACAATAGAAAATTTGTATAAAACCAGGATCAATCACCTGTCCTATGAAATACGCACTTTTGGCAATACTTATTATAATCGGTTGTTGAGACATTATTTATAATGACTTTACAGTTGTATGTAATAAGTAATACTGTTACAGTAATACTGACTATATGCGTAGTCAATTTATGTGTCTTCACATAAGACATGTTAAATTATGCCTTATGTGATACATACTTGACTATGCATACGGGCGTATTAAGACAGATATTTTATCTATAATGAACAAGTCATATCATCAACAGTTTAATAATTTTTAAGATGATGTAGAATATTCAACAGTCCATGTCAAGTAAAAATGTCTTTAAGAAGGTAGAAATAAAAATAACTGATTTTTTTTTAATATGTTATAAAAATACACCTAACATTTTTTTATACCTAATGTAGGTTTTCATTTTTTAGGTTCCTAGAAAATAAAAATTTAACATGTGACTTTAACATTTGGTAGTAACGCTGAAAATCGACTTCCTAAGAAGCCTAGATGATATTTTATCAATGAATTCAAACATGTATAAAAAATTTAAATCGGACATTCTGAAGTATGTGTAATTTACCACCGCTTATTGGTCTTAAACATGAAAAATACGTGCGCTGCAGCCCCCAATGATTTGAAAACAAATCTATTGGTTATTATAACCTATTTTTCTTGATCCATTGAGATCCGAACAAAATTTTTTTTCTGTATATACTCTTATCAATGTAAGGGTAAAATTAAAAGAAAAAATTGTGGGCTTTTAGAATAATTGATATAATATGGCAATAAAATTCTGATTTATTTACATCATTGTATAATATTCATCTTATCTATTATACAATTTTAATATTATGTAAAACTTAGTAACAAAATAAATTTAACATACAATTTAAAACTTGAATGAAAGTATAATTAGCATTTAAAATTAAATTGAAATTCCTTATTTTTTCTGTTGTATAATAAAAATAACAATTAATTACTTAAAAATAAATCTGGAAATAACCAGTAGTCATACTTGTACTCTGATTATAGTTTAGATGTTACGATGTACTGCTCAAATGGATTGGAGACTTCAGGGACATTATTTAGCTCCCATGACCCACCATATGTTGTTACCTGGCCAAGATTGCACAAGCTACGAAAAAATTTTAATGTGGACAAAAATTGTATATATTTTTCATTCAGTGTACACTTACATGTATCCAATCCTTCTTATTTCTGGGTTAAGCCAATAGTCTCCCATTAAATCAATTATATGTTGAAGAGGCATCAATACCTTTTTGTTTTTTGAAAAGTTAGTTAGTATTTTGTTTATTCCGACAACAGAGGTAGAGATTGGCAATTTCAGTTTTTCTTCGTGTTTTGTTTGAATATGAAGATAAAGCAATCTTTCACAAACATAATCACAAAATGGGCAAAATTTTGGTATCTGTAAATTACAATGTCATATTATAATTTGTAACATTAAAGATAACAACTAAATTTTAATATTACTTTGTCTAAAATGCCCAATTTTAATTTATCAGACGTCAACATTAATTTGCCTTTTTTTTTGTTGACAGATGTGATGGGCTGTGATGGCAGTTCTTCAGAGATCACCTCAAATTCTGTTTAATTAAAACATTTAAGGTAAAGCAGAATTTGATTTATATAAAATATAACCTATTTACCTATGTTGGTTTGTTTAGGTAGTGATGATGGAATAAATTCTTTCACTGGCGTAACTGATGTACAATAAAAATATTTAGTTTAAAAATATTATATTATTAAATATTCTATGTCTTTCTTACGAGGATCTATATCAAAATTCAATTTTTGCCATCCTGAACCAGCAATTGGTGTTGAAGTTGATCTCTGCTTTATGAGTTGTGGTAATGGTGAATTAAAGTTGGACTTTAACGATGAAAATAGTGTAAGATAACTGGGCAATGAAGACGGTACTACTTTTTAACCATTAAAAGACATGCAAAAAAATTTTATTACATTTTTTTAGTTTATAATTTTGCAAAATTATTTACCAACAAACTTTTCAATTTTAGAGACGACAGTACCAGCAGTATTAGAGGGTTGATCTTTTGAATCCTGAACAGCTATGTCTGAAATAAAAGTATACATTTCAAGTGTTTTAGCATGAAATATTCAGATAATTTAAAGCTCTTTTTATTATTATGATTTGGTGTTTTAACAATACAGATTTAGGTAGACAATTAAAAAAATAATCATTCTATAAATTGGACTAATATTGGAGCCTATTAATAATTCAATATTTATAAAATTATAACCATTTGGCATTTACTATTTAGAGTTATAATAAGAGAAATGTAGTTTGTAGAGATGCTTTGTGAAGAACAATAACATGAAATAGACAATAGTGCACAATAAGCACATTTATTGCCCAACTTTACAATTTAAATAAATAATAAAATATTCAAATGGTATTTGAAATTAACAGACCATGGAGTAGACTACAAATATTTAGCTTTGGAACATTAATGTCTACCTACTTTAAAAATATCAATCAATGTAAAATTCAAAACAAATTATTTACTCGGATTTTACTAAATGTCTACTTAGAAAATATCTTTAGTTTACCTTCAATACAGCCTGAATAAGTAGAAGTAGGTGCTGCTTGTATTTTGTTTTCCTTTTTCTTTATAATTTTGTCATCTATTGCAGGAACTTGCGAAATAGTTGTAATAATATTCGGTTTGGCTAAACACTTTTGTCTTTTTAATAATAAATTATCTAAGCAACAAATTCAAATAGAAACATTAATCTAGACAAAGTCACACCTGCATGTGTTGTTTCATCATTACAAACATACAACATAGGTCGTAAATTTGTGTTCAGCAGAACCAAATCAATCTTGAGAATGCAACCTGTGTGTTGTTGTCTCGGTCTTACAAACGTATGACATAGCTAATTAGATGTTCATTAATTGCAATAGTGTGCCGTTAATTTTGATATTAGAGTAAATTGACCTATTATCAAACATTTAAGCAAGTTTGGAAGGAACGAGTTCCAAAAAGAATGGATTCCTGCAACGAATTCCTTTTTATGAAAAAAGAACTAGAAAATGAAGTAGTTCTGTTTTTTTAAGGAAAAATAACAACATTTTACTCTTCTTTCTAGTTCCAATAATTTACACGGATATGTAAATAATTGAAATTAGATATATTTTTTTTAATGTCTATAAAGTATATTGGCAATTAATGATTGTTATCGAGTATCAATGTTAATCGTTACTCATTTGTCATTAGTCACTTTATTAATATTTCATCAAGGTATAATTTATATAGAAACGAGTACCTATATAAAATATGTAGGTACCTACTTGTAGGTATATATTATTATAGGTAATTAAAAATTGAAGAAGTATGCATATGAAAAAAAAAAATTAATGATTAAATGAGAATTCTTATTTTATTTGATATTAAAAAAGAACTTGTTCATTTTCCCAAGGAACAAGGAACGGAACGAATTCCTTTTTAAAAGGAACTTGCCAAACACTGCTTTTAGTTAAGAACATTATCTGTACTTAAGTGATGGCAATTTTTTCGATCTTTTAATTTTCAAGCAAGTAATAGGAATGTGAAATATCACAAAAATTTACCATGTCGTAAGTGTACAAGTCGGAGACAACAAATGTATGGGTAGTGTCTTCTTAAAGAAATTAGAATTTTAAAAATTTAAATTTCCATAATACAGTCACACAAAATGCTACTGGAAAAAATTTGTTGTCTTTTTCAAACAAATTGGCTTAGAAATAACTACAGTTATATAACTAGGTACCTGAACATTTAATCATTAATTATAAATCATTTTTAATTTACAGTACTTATTATTTACCTAATGATTTTAATTACAAATTTTTATGGACAATTTCTAAAACCTTACCTTCATTTGGATCAGAACTAATTTTTTTTCTCTTCTTTTTGTTATTTTGTTTTCGGACTACAGAGTCTGGTAATCCTGTCAAAAAAGTTGAAATCTTAATTTTCATTGTTGATACCTAGTTGGCCAAAACTGTACCAAGGATATTTTTTCAACAATTTCTAAAACTTTACCTTCATTTGGATGTGAACTAATTTCTTCTCTCTTTTTTTTATTTTTTTGTTTTCCAATTACTGAATCTGGAAATTCTGATAAAAAATTTGAAATCTTATTTTTCATTTTTAATACTTAGTCGGCCAAAACTGAAAACAAAAATGGCAACATTATATAATATCAGAAACGTAAATTAATATATAAGTAAGTAAAATATTAAAATGCAACAAATGTGATATACCTGTTTATTAATATGGATAGATGTTCACAAAATTACTCGAAAAATTATAAATGTTCAGAGTTTCAGACCGTCTAGTGTCTGCATCAAAAATAAAGTAACGATAGATACCTATTGGAGTACTCAGAAGTTAGCACCATATAATGGCGATTGGAAACTGGCTGGGTACCGACTACCGAATAGTGAATAGTCGGAAACTCAGAAATCTGACAGCCGACAGCCAGACACAAAAACGCCGAGTTCCGAAATCCGGATGTTCCGATTAGAGAGTGTGAGTGACTGGGGACTGGCGAGTGGCGACTGACGAGTGACGACTGTTCAACTGTTGTTGCCTTGTTGCCTGTTGGTGCGTACTGTGACCTGCGTGCGTGTAACGTGTTATTTCAAAAACCTAATATTATGTTGGAAATTTATGTTGACTATTTACTATCTACTATCTAGTATCTATAAATAAAATTAGTAATTTCCATCATAGAAATTTCTTGAAAGTAATATTGTTCAGTGTTAATATTATAATAATAATTAATATGTATAAATAGACGAGGGTTTTAACGTCATCCCCACGTCCCGCCAACAACTTGTGATCAGTGTGAGTGTGTGACAGACGACACTATGACTACGGTCTACGACAGACGACAGTGTTCTCTCCGTTTTACCAAATAATATTGTGTAATATTTACTTTAAAATGCTAACTTACTCGCTTAAAAATTATATATCAAAAATAGCATACGATGGGTCACTGGATAATATTATTATTACCTTAAATTTTGATAATCGATCAATTCAATTAACAATTTAATAGGTAATTTAAATAACAGAATAAAATAATAAAATAGATTCTTCTGAACGACTGAACGTACAATTTGCCAAGTTATGCTTTTGCATTAGTAGGTAAGACATATCGGAAGGACACCACTAATATAGGCGCTATATTAAAGACCAGTGGTTTTCAAACTTATTAAACAAGGCACACCGTGCTCTTCAAAAAATGTTCACGACACACTGACCACTTTTTTTGTTTGCACTAAATAATTAGATCAACAAAATTGTTATGGATCATTATATACATTTCATTAGAAATGTGTGCTTGGTGGGCTAACACATTTTTATTAATTATGCTTTTATAATTTTCTTCTTGGACGAATAGTTGACATTTTTCAGAAAACCGCTGCAGTGCGAAACGCATTACGCAGCGAATGTTATCGAATAGCGGCACACCGTTGGGCCACGGCAGTGCGACACTCAGTTTGAAAAACCACCGTTGTCTGTTATAGACACTACCGGTGTTATTCAGTTATTGTCAAAAACTAAGGTTTAACTCGAGTTTAAAAAAACTTTGTTTAATTCTTACACATTGGTTAAACTCGGGTTTAATAATGTTTTATTTATTAATAGTCAATGGGCTAGGCTAAGTTTTTAAAAACTGTGGATTATCTTAGTTTTATTATAAACAGCCATAGAGTATTAGATGAGTCTCCAAATTTACATATTATTACCAATTGTTAACAATCCAAAAAAAAATTCATTCTATATTCTATTTTAATTCGAACGTTACAGTTTTTCCAGGTATTTTTTTTATCAAGTCATTGTTATCGTTAAATCTCCCGAATTTTGGAAAATATTTTTAGATTACCTATACGTCATATATGAATTTATTTTTGGTTTCGTACTCTAGGTATTTTTGAGTTTATTAGTGGAATTTATTTATTCAAAAATTATTATTTAAATCGAGTGATTGTTTTTTTATAATGTATAAATAAAAAAGGTGGGCAAGTGGGTGTCGCTCTGCTGTACAGTAGGTTACAAGTGGGTCACTGTATAATGGATGGTATTAAATTTGAATTCAATGATATAATATCATTGTATAAGAAAAACGATTCTGAGCGGTGACGGTATGTCAGTCTATGTATAAGACATATTATATACATATCTATGGTATTAAACAAAAAATTGGCCTATAATAGGTACCTATAATAAATTCCAAATTAATCATATCACAATATCCATCAGATACTTATAACCGTGATACTATCATAGATATATAATAGTACACTTTAGAAGTTTCAAGTACCCACGAATAATATTATTCAATCACAACAAAATAACTAAAATAGTTATTCTAGGTTCTTTAATATGTAATTTCGTCCAAATTTGAATTTAAAATGTCTGTAAAAAATAAGTGTGTTCATATATTTTTTAGATTTTTTGGTTATAGTATGAACTATTTATGAGAACCTTTGTGTTGAATTTGTAATCCTTAGCTATAAAAACTGAACATTTTATAATTTATAATTACAATGATTGATAATTTTCGAGATTTTGATAAATTTTGTCAAAATTTGATCTTTAAATGAAGATGATAATTTAAATGAATCTTCAAATAAAGTTTGTATTGGAAAAATAGTTTTTGACTTTAGAACATCACCAGCGTCCAGCGCTCTTTCATAAACGATGCAAAATTATATTATGAATTAAAAAAACAGTCGGAGCACTTATATTATACTTATCCATGACAATGACTTAAGTACTTAACCTAACCTAACCATAATAATTTGTCAATTTGTCATGTTCAAAACTTATTTTATTTTAAAAGCTATTTATAAAAAATAATATTAAAATAATATTTATCAATATAATATCTCGTTGAGTTTTAATTTCTGATAAGGCATCATCCAACGCAATGTATTGGTAACACTGATCATGTTTGAATGGACCGGATCAACGGAAAAATTAGCAGACAAAACAATTAACAGACAACAGACAACTACGAACTCGGTATTACAGTTGAACACTGAACAGTCTTCTCTTCTTCAATTCTTTAGAGTTTGGAGTTTAGGCGGTTCAGTACGAATTACTACGGAAACGGAATGGAAAATCGGAGATACAGATTTTCGTAAAGTGAATCGTTGTATCCTGTCCTTTGAGTGGTCCTAGTGTTATTGTATTTGCATTTTTAACGTTTACATAGTGATTTTTTTAAGTTATTTATTCTTTTTTGATTATCTATACATTTAAAAGCCACTGAATGAAATCCGCCGTTGTGAAATAAAAACGTCGAAATAATATGGATAGTTGCAACATTAAAGTGGCCATCAAGGCTCGTCCTTTAAACCACAAGGAGCAGTTGGACGATCGGGTTTACTGGAAAGTAGAATCCGACAGTGTTATTCACATCGATCCAATAACTAAAAAGAAGAACGGAGAACAGTTTTTTTTCGGTAAAATTTCATTTGTTTTCCCAAAACTTACCTAAATGTTTTTATCTTTTAAGCTGTCGGTTGCATACTGTATGAGTGTACAATCGTAAAAGTCAAACTAAAAAGGTAGGAATGAGTTTTTTTTTATCTCTTACTCACTATAGTACATTTTTCGGAGGTGAACTAAAAAACACATTCTTATCTTTTGACCGACTGAAAAATAAAAATAGATTGAAATACCTAACATTTTATTGAAACGTAAAAATAAATGGTACTTTATTTTAATGTCTGCCTTTTGATTGGAGTTAATTAAAAATAAAATGTTTTTAGTAAGTATACAAAACTTTTTTGCTACTGCTTGGTTGTGATCCCACTTTGGCCAGTAAACAATGTTATCTCCCTTCTTAAATTTACTTATAATGTCAGCACATTTTTATAACAGTTTTGTAGTGAGAGAGCTTTAAGGAGCTTAAAATCGTTCCATGAGAAATCATTAATTTGTGGGTAAACATTAAAATATCTAATGCTAAAAAAATCTAAATACAAACGCTCGTAAAAAATTTGGTAGCTATACTTTTTTTGTTTTTTAAAGTAAAAACATGTAGAATCTTGTATTAAATTTTCAAATCTTAAATACAAAAACAAAAACAAATCTTAACATTTTAAACAGGCAATTTTTAATTTTAGCTTTTAGTTTTTGGAGGCCTGTGTGTACTGCACATCTCACACATTGATTTGTTGTGACACTGCTACCCACTCTAAATGCCCTTAATGTAATATTATAAATATAATTATTATGTGACTGTAAATATTAAAATGTTTGTTTTATGCGGTTTTATGTTATTCCTTACTATAATGTATCCAACTACCCCATTCCCCCAAAAATATTCCTCCATTCCTCCATGCACCTATGTGTCATATAACCCCGTTCACTAAAGCACTGTATTTGTACTTATTATATTCTGATTGTTGATTGTTTGATATATTTAGATAGAGTATTTTGTGATAAATCAACAAACAATGACGTGTTTGATGATATTGTCAGACCAATTATTGACAGAGGAGTGCAAGGGTTTAATGGTACAGTATTTGCCTATGGCCAAACTGGTTCTGGTAAAACATTCACTATGTCTGGTGATCAGTCAAACCCTGGAATTATTCCGTTAGCTATTAACTACATGTTCAATGCTATGAATAATTCTTCTAGTAGAGAATATTTACTAAGGTATAGTGTACATAATTATTTATTAGCTTTTATTACTTAATAATTGTATATTATTCATAAAAAAATTAATTTTCAGAGCTTGTTATTTAGAAATTTACAATGAAAAAGTTATAGATTTACTCGAAAAAAAAAGTAATAAAAATCAAACAAAAAAAATTGAAATTCAGAAAGATGGTTTACATATTACACCATTAAAGGCTATAGTTTGTCAAAATTCACAAATGGTATAATTACAAAACCATATGTTGCTTATTAGTTTATAGTTATGTAGTCAATCATTTTAATATATTTTCAGGTTATTGATCTTATGAAAATAGGTGAGAAAAACAGGAGTATTGGAGAAACAGATATGAATGAAAGATCATCAAGATCCCACACAATATTTCGCATGGTAAGTATTTTAACTACCTAATTAAAATATTATCAATTTTAAAAACCAAAACCATCTATTATCATATTCAAAAAAAGTGGGTAAATCGTTCCACTCAGAATCTAAAATTGTTTAATGAGTTAATTTTTAATTAAATGTTAAAACTTAAGAAATATATTATTCCTAATATCTTTTAAAAATAAAAAGAGTGAACTTTCAACTGTATCACTAATTTCTTACGCTTTCTTACCAGTTACCACTTCAATTTTTTCAATTGATACGTTAATGTCAGCAAATAATGGTCATTATAATATAATTTTCATATGTGTCTTGTCATTGTGATTTATTTTCTGCTTGACTTATAGCAGTATGTAAACACTTAAAAATGTTAATTGCTATTAGTTTAATTGCATATTATTATGAATTTAAAATAAAAATATTAATTTGGTATTATAGGTACTCAACTAATTTAATGTATAACACCTGAGTATAGTTTTTTTTAATTATATTTAATATTAATTGTTATTATTTATTATAATTGTTTAGATTCTAGAAAGTCGCAATGTAGATGATGATTGTGACGGGGCTTACCAACAATCTGTGATTAATTTAGTTGACTTGGCTGGTTCAGAGCGAAGTAGTCAAACTCAGTCATCTATGGAACGGTTTAAAGAAGGTTGCAAGATTAATAGTTCCCTAACAACTCTAAGTCTTGTTATCCAACAACTTAGTGAATGTCCGGATAGGTAAATCATTTTAATTTTAATCTATACTAGAGTATTATTTTAATTATATACATTTTAATCTCCATAATATGATATGACCATAGAAAATGTTTATATGGATTTTGATTTATGTCATTTTTATTTATATTTTGAAGCTCGCAACATGTCAACTTTCGTGACAGTAAACTTACGAGAATATTACAAACATCTCTTGGAGGAAATTCTTTAACTGCAATTATTTGTACAGTGACCTTAGCAGTTGAAGATCAAACATCTAACACATTAAGGTACCTATTAGAACATTTAATTCTTAAATTTTGTTTCTAAATACTTATGTTTGTTTATTATACTATTAGTTTTGCCTCTCGTGCCAAAAAAATTAAGAATACTGCTAAAGTAAATGAAAATGTCACAGACGAAACACTTCTTAAACGTTATAGAGTTCAACTTTCTAAATTGAACAAAGAATTAGAGGGTATAAAACAAAATCAGTTTGAAAATGATGAAGTTAATGAAATTAAATACAAGTATCAGGAAGAAAAGCGAACTAATGAAGAATTAAAGGAACGTATAATGCGTTTGCAAAACAATATGATAACTTCTGCAGCTCATACAGATCAACCCCCTAATAAAGTAAATATTAAAACTTTTAATTTAAAATTAATTAATTTCATGTTGACTCGTTAAATACTAAATATATTTCATTTTAGAAAGGTTATCAGCGAAGAAGAACTTGGGGTGGAAAACTAGATAATACATTTTCTTCAAACAGCATTCTTGAAACTATTGAAGAAGATGTCAATATGCATCGACCAAGTGTACCACCTAACTTTGGAAATCTAAATAAAGGTTTATAATTAATTGTTTTTTAACTATGGTTTTCTTATTTCCAGTGTCTATATTTAAATGTACTATTAAGTATTAATAATAATCTCGTATAATACCTATATTATAAATAATATTTATTTAACACCAAACTACCAATATGGATAAAATAAAATAATCTTTGGTTTTCTTTTTAAAAACAGAGCTTATTATTTATTTTAATATTTTTTTTTAGATTATAAAACACCATTAGAACCATTTGAATGGGACTTAATAAGAGAAGAAGATCGTTCTGCTGTTACTGAATCCACAAATAACGAAAATACTGAACATCATTTCTCACCGTAAGTCTTAATAATACGTTGTTTGCCCTGGGATAATTTTTATTATGGTACATGAACATTAAGAAAAAATTGAAATTGAAAAAACAGTGTTGGAGTAGGTCAGCGGTAGTGGAAGTTTGTCCATTGTCCCTTCGGTCCTTACGACAGGGTAGTGTAGTATTACAGTAACCAATAAAAATCGATTCTGAGCGTACCAAAGAAAATTGATGAACCATAAATATGTATTAATAAATAACTATTAATTGTATATAATATACCTATGGGAATTAGGTTAATTTTAAATTTTATTCGTTTCTATGGTGATAAACAAAGAGTTAGAAAAAAAATTTTTGGTTTTTTTCCCGTGGCGTTAAAAAAGTAAAAACTATTGAGAAAATTGAAAAATTACCTCTCTAAAGTATCATTTTGATCCAATTTGCTAAAAGATAAGGTATTATATGTTAAAATCAAAGCACTCCTTTTGGTAGAAATTTTGTTTACTGGATAAAAAAAAATATAAACATCATTGTACAAGCACTAACATCCTGGCTCCTCTAATAATCTTAAATATTAATCAACACATTAAACATCTTACGAAACCATTTATGATTTATGTCATGAATATAAAAAAACTAAACCTAAAATACAATTATAATATTTTACATTACATAATACATGGTTAGGTTAATTATTCAATTTATGAAAGTTTGAGTAAACTAGTAGTTTTTTGTGACCATTTTCACTTCAGCCTTTTGAAACTAGTTAAACATAATATATTACATAATATTAGTATTTCATAGATATTAACGCTTTAAATTGTTTGATTGATTACCAGGGTCAAAATGTCTTTTTATTGTATCTATAAAATGTTTAAGTTATGTTAAATTGTATTAAAATGTATATGTTTAAATCTGATATAAGATGCAATGAATTATAATTTTTTTTTAAATTCAAATAAAAAAAATAAATGTATATTTATGTATCTATATATTGGATACATTACCTAATTATAACAAATGTGATTTTATTTAAAATGCGTAAAATCAATATCTGTAATTGTTAATTTTGTTAAAAAAAGTAATTAGTATAAAATAATTTCATAGAATTATTCTTAGCATTAATGGATAATAAATTAATATTACATTTTTTTTATGTAATATACTCAGACATATTATTAGTAACATTAAGCATATCAATTTATTTTATTAAAACTTTCTGAAACTTGATAAATAAAACTTTTAAATTATTCTATAAAATACATAAATTTAC